TTTCTCTATTTTTACTGTTACTCTGCCGAATATTTTCCGCATTATTTTCTTTCCGCATTATTTTCTTTACCGATCTGTGGGAGACATCCGATATCAGACAAATATTCTGCTGTAATATTTTCAGGTTTAATTTAAGTACTTTATTTATTTATGCCTGGATTGTCTGTAATGTTTAGTTTATTTAAATTGTTAGATGGTAATTATTTCGGTTGCGCTGTTATTGAATCGTTTAATATGCTAGGTTAAATTTATTTACCGGTACGTAAGGTCATATAGCCAACGGGATTTAGCAACGCCAATTGATCAATTCCTTTTAAAAAAGAATAATTTTCTGGTTTCAATTACTAGTTCTAAATATTAACTGTTTTCTTACGAGAGTAAAATACAGATAGAAGTTAGGATCAATAAAACGAGAGTTTGAGATAATAACTGGATATTAGTAATTGTGCATCAACTTAAAATACAGCGAGAGTGCTTTTAAGTTGATTAGGTTTTGTTTGTTTCCAAAAACTATTTTTAAACTCTAATTGAAACAGCGAAAGAACTCACTTAGGTTTGATCGTAGGATCTGAATCAATAAACACAAGAGTGTGAGAAGATGGTTTTCAAACGAATACTTCCTACTGGAAACTGTCTTGTTAATCCGAGTTAGGTCAATGAGTTGCTAAATCCCCGAAGTCCGACCATTACATATCGATATTCTCCCTTGAATCTAAACTAGATTATAATCAGTTAGATTCCCTAAACCCCCTATTAATTATATTATTAGCCTTAGATTTACGTAGTAACCTAAGATAATGGTAGTTCGACATTTAGTCCATTGGGATTCTATAATCTTTAAAGCTACACGCGATAGGCCTGTATACTTACGGTCTAGATTCTTTAAGACTCACAAAGTCGCGATCAGGTACCTTTATGTTTTATTACCTGGGAATCTCTTACTTGTAAAAAATTGTCCAACCACCAATGCCTCATTTCGGTGAAAAAAATTGTTGAGAGAGTGGAACATTGGAGCACAAGGCTGTTGAATTTTGCAGGTAGGGAGCAACTTATTAAAAGTGTCAAGTTTTCCATAACCAATTTCTAGATGCAGTTCATTCCCATTCCAAAGCTAGTGCTTAAGAAAGTTGATGCAATCTGTCGCTCCTTCCTCTGGTCTGGGAAAGAACTGATCACTAGAAAATCTCCAGTCTCGTGGGAGAAAATTTGTGCACCTAAAAAGTATGGTGGTCTCAACATTATATGCCTCAAGATTTGGAACAAAGTTAACATGTGCAAGCTTTTGTGAAACCTGTGTGGTAAGGCAGATAATCTTTGGATTCGTTGGGTCCATAACTATTATGTTAAAAAAATATGAAATTATGAATGTAGCTGTGAAGCAAGGGTGCTCTTGGATTCTGAAAGCAGTCCTTAACAGTAGACCTGATATAAGTCATTCTCATGCTTGGGAGTTTATGCATCAAAAGAATAAATTTATTTCCAAAACCTTGTATGATGATATTTTCAACAACATGCAATTGGTTGATTGGAGACAGATTATGCTTAACAATTTTGTTAGGCCTAGAGCAGTTCACAGTGCGTGGATGGCGTGCCATAATAGCTTGGCAACAAATGATAGGTTGTTCAGATTTGGCATGCTGGATAACAATTTTTGTTGTTTCCGTGGTGCTACAGAACCTCTTCAACATCTGCTGTTTGAGTGTAGCATTAACAGAAAAATTTGGTTCTTCTTTTTGTGTGTTGAATTCAGAATTCGTATGTCCCTCTTGGGTGGAAAGAAGAACTCCATTGGATAGAGACCATCTACGAAATTTGGAACTTTCGCAACTCGGTTTGCTTTGGTAAAAATTCGATCAACAACATTGACTATATTAACCCTAGTATAGTGGACAACATTGTTTGTAGATGTTGGACAATCCCTACCATATAAGGACTTTTTTTTTGCCTTAGGGATATTTTGACCCCATTTTTGTTTGTTTGTATTGTTTTGCCTGCTAGATCGTTAGTGATCACTCGAGCTGTATTGTTTTTGAATCTCTTAATAAAATTTGTCTTTTGATTAAAAAAATAAAAATAAAGCATTAATATAATAAATAAATAATTTTAAATTTTATAAAAATAAAATTTATATAAAATTATTAGATTTAAAGATTCATAATTAAAATTGACATAAAATAAATATACACTTTTTATTCTAACTTAAACTTACTTACCGTAACTTTTATTCTAAGTTTTAAAAATCATATTTTTAATAACTTATAAAAGTTTCACACTTTAATTATATTAAATATATACATTTATTATAAATATATATACACTTATAAAAATTTATTCTAATTTAAAAAAAAAAAAACACATATATATATATATATATATATATATATATATATATATATATATATATATATATATATATATATATATATATATATATATATATATATATATATATATATATATATATATATATATATATATATATATATATATATATATATATATATATATATATATATATATATATATATATATATATATATATATATATATATATATATATATATATATATATATATATATATATATATATATATATATATATATATATATATATATATTTCTAAAAAAATGTACTTTTTAAATATATACACTTATGGTTTTTTAAATAAACATATATTTAAAAAACAAAATATATTTTAAATGATAGATTACTCATTAATAACCATTGAGTGGTGATTTGACCTAACAGTCAAATTTTGCTAGGGTCTATTCCTCTCGATATGAATATTCAAATTTTGTTAGAGATTATCCCTCACAAATACTAACTTTTGTCTCTCCAGAACTTTCAGAAAATAAGATTTTAGCGCCATTTACTTCTGCGATGGGTGACCCCTCAAAATAATCAATTTCGAAATTCAGAAGTTCCCTCTGTCATATCTTCGAGGGGTTATCCCACACCAGATAATTGTACTTTTTTCGCGCGTAGCGATGAGTTTAATCCAAAACAAAGTTGTTTTATTTAGTGAGAGGGTTTTACCCATAGCAAATTTCCAGACTATACACAGTTTTTCTTGTAGGGAACTTACATGGATCAAAAGACTATTTAGGCTTAATATATTGGTGAATTCAAATTAGCATTAATATTAACTAATAAAATAATAAATTAAAAGTATTTATTAAAGGATACAATTGAAAGATTAAATATAAAATTGCATTAATAATCTAAAATGACAAGTATTTTGGAACAATTTTTTTTTAAATGTGATAAATAATTTTGGGACAGAAGGAATATAAGTTAATATTACAAAATAAGAATGATTCATTATTATTAAAACAAATAGATTATAAAAAGAAATAGATTAAATCTAACTAATAAATAGTATTTAAAAAAAATAAATATTATCGAATAATAGATTAATGCAATATGTCATACTAATAAAATAAAAAGTATACAAATATATAATTCATTTCGCTTTGATTTTGAAAAATCAATTTAAAATTTAATCTAAATAGATCGATTTTGACAAAATAATATTCAAACACATTTCACAATATTTGATTTTTTTATTAATTTGTAATTTTTATTTAAATATGTGTGGAGTCAAACATCTTCAATAACTTGCCTTTTTTCCCTAACTTTATCTATGCTAATTACAACTTGAATATCTTTTAGATTAACCTAGGAGAACCATTGGTTGACCCTATTTTATAAAGCCCTGGATCCATCCTTTATTATATTCTATTTATTGTTTGGCAATTGTAATGTAAGAGGGGACGGCAAGTTATTAATTTCACATGCAATGTGAGTGGTCACTGAATGCCTTGCCATTCCCTCCCACGAATTCCACCACATATGAATCTCTTCACCGCTATAACACCACTTTCCCAATTATTATTATTACCCCAAACACGTCACTACTCACTCTCTTCTCCTTTGTAACTTTAATAACAAAATCATCAATTTTATAAATTAATTTGTAAATGAAAATGAAAGAGCTTAACTAAGGAGTAATTTCCTGAATGCGACTCACAATCTATCTGACTAACCTATTTTCCAACCGACCACTCACTTCTCAAACATAACTTGATAACAAATACAAATCATGAAACCAAAACATCAGAAAGAATCAAACCAACTAATAAACACTTAATTTTCTACTAAAAATAAAATAACACCTTATGAGTTATGTATGATCTGTCATCGTGCTTGAACAAATATTCAAAGGGTATATTAGTCACGACACAACAAATAAAAAAGAATAAAGAATTACACGTGGCACGATTGGGTTGGGTTGACAAAGAGAGATAAACAGAGAAGATAATAACGCGTTCATTCCTCTCTTCTTCTTCCCTCCGTTTTTTCTGACATAACATTTCTGCAAAAATTCTTTTTCATTCCTTTTTTTCTTCATTTTATTATTATTATTATTGTTATAGAATTCACCTCGTATTCCCCGTTTTACCCTCACCATAGCCATTGAAGTTTCTGTTTCATTCATTCTTTCGTAAAAAGTTTTTTTCTCTCTCTTTTCTTTCAATTTTTCCTATATATTCTCATTCTCGTATCTGTCTCTCTGCAACCGACCGACAATTCATTTGTTTCTCGTACCACATGCCCCATTTTTAAGGTTTATTTTTGTGTCTCTTTATCTTCTTCTGTTCTTGTTGTTTTGAATTTTAATTGATTCAGTTTTCTACAAACGAATCTATACAAAACAATAATCTCGTTCCTTTTGTAGTATACTATTGGCTTTCTGTATATTCGGGTAAGTTTTTTTTTTTTTTTGGTTGGGATTTTGACTTTGTTTTGACAAGGAGAAAAAAACATTTTAGTTTTGGTTACATTGTTGGTTTTGTGTTTTTGTTCTTTTCTACGTTAATTGTCTATGATCAAGTTTTTTGGAGATCCAATGGGCATTTTGTGTGAATTGTTTATTTTGTAGATCATGTGTTTGATATTTGTTGTCACAGGAATTCTGGATCCTGTTAGAGAATTGAAGATGCCGGGAATTGTTACAAATGGGGTTCATGATGAAGGGGGGACTAATGAGATGAATGAGAGTCATTCCCCAGCTAAGGAAACTGTATATCTGATTAAGTCTCCGAGCGGGCGTCGCAATTCTCGAGTTGAGGATGGGGTGGTTGAGCCGTCGATCCAGCAGCTTTATGATAATGTGTGTGATATGCAGAGTTCTGATCGGTCTCCGTCCCGGCAAAGTTATGGATCTGATGGGGATGAGTCTAGGATTGATTCAGAACTGCATCATTTGGTTGGAGGACGGATGAGGGAATTGGAGATAATGGAAGAGGAGGTGGAGGTGGAGGTGGAAAGAAGGCCAGGAGAGAGTTCTAGTTGTGAAACATCTTCTGGGATTGGTGGTTTATCGAATGATAGGAAGTTGGATAAGGTGGCTGAGATTCGGACTGGGAGCAAAAGTCCGGTTTCCTCAGAAAAATCTGTCAAAGCATTGAATTCTTCATCGCCGGGCTTTGACATTTCACCAATATCTAAACCCAAAGGAAAAAGTCCTTCTGCAAAACCTCCTTTGGAGAGAAAGAATGATAAGCCTTTGAAAAAACAAACTAGAGGAGTTAGTGGCGCGAAGAGTTCAAAGAATTCTCCTTTGGGAAAGTCGGTGCTACAGAGTCGTGTTGAGAATTCGGCCGAATCAGAATTAGATAGACCAGAGCGGGCACCTGGATTACTAAAGCAAGCAAGAGATCTTATTTCATCAGGAGATAATCCACACAAAGCTCTTGAACTAGCTCTTCAAGCAATGAAACTTTTTGAGAAGTTCGGTAATGGGAAACCGAATTTGGAACTGGTCATGTGTTTACATGTTACAGCGGCAATATATTGCAGCTTGGGTCAGTACAGTGAGGCGATTCCAATTCTTGAGCGTTCAATTGAAATTCCTGTTAGTGGGGAAAGTCAACAGCATGCTCTTGCTAAATTTGCCGGTCACATGCAACTGGGAGATACCTATGCTATGTTAGGCCAGCTTGAGAATTCAATTATGTGCTACACTGCTGGGTTTGAAGTCCAGAGGGAGATTTTGGGAGAGACAGACCCGAGAGTTGGCGAAACTTGTCGGTATCTTGCTGAAGCTAATGTTCAAGCTTTGCAATTTAATGAAGCAGAGACACTATGTCAAATGGCTCTTGACATTCATAGAGCAAATAGTTCAGCACCATCTATTGAAGAAGCAGCTGATAGGAGGCTCATGGGTCTTATATGTGAAACGAAGGGGAATCATGAAGCAGCTCTTGAACACCTTGTTTTAGCTAGCATGGCAATGGTAGCAAATGGCCAGGAAGTGGAAGTGGCATCTGTTGACTGTAGCATCGGAGACGCATACTTATCTTTGTCTCGATTTGATGAAGCTGTTTTTGCGTATGAAAAAGCGTTAGCTGTTTTAAAGACCAACAAAGGAGAGAATCATCCAGCAGTAGGATCAGTCTTTGTCCGCTTGGCCGATTTGTATAACAGGACTGGTAAGATAAGGGAATCAAAATCGTATTGCGAGAGTGCACTTAAAATATATGAGAATCCAATGTCTGGAGTTACTCCAGAAGAGATTGCTAGCGGTCTTACAAATCTGTCAAGTATCTACGAGTCAATGAATGAGGTTGAATGGGCACTCAAGTTACTGCAGAAAGCATTGGAGATATATAATGATGCTCCTGGTCAGCAAGGCGCAATAGCAGGAATCGAAGCTCAGATTGGGGTCATGAACTACATGTTGGGAAACTATACTGAATCTTACAACACTTTGAAAAGTGCTATTTCAAAGCTTCGTGCTATTGGAGAGAAGAAATCATCCTTTTTTGGTATAGCTCTTAATCAACTGGGACTCGCATGTGTGCAGCGCTATGCCTTAAGTGAGGCTATAGAATTATTTGAGGAAGCAAAGAGTATTTTGGAACAAGAGTTGGGTCCTTATCACCCTGAAACACTTGGAGTATGTAGTAATCTTGCAGGCACATATGATGCAATTGGAAGGTACCCATTTACTAAGATATAATGCACTTTCAATTTACTAAGATATAATGCAAAGCAGGTAAATAGTAATATGCTATAAATTAATAGACTTCCTAAACAAGTCATGCCCCTCGTGTGAAATAATAACTGATTTTATTTGGGGCATTCATAGTGAAGAGTTAGTTGACTAGATTAGATATTGTATTTACTTCCTTTCACCTTAAGCTTTTGTTAGTGAGACCATTGGCAACTTGAACTTGAACGTCGAAGCCTTTAGCGAGGGATGAGTTTTTTATATCAGTAGGAATCGTACTTGTTACTTTGGGGTTTACAACACGTGCACACCTACCACATGGGCACCAGCAACTTGTACTAGACCCAGTAGAGAATGATGAATTTGATTCACCTTTTGAGACTTTGTGAAACTATAAAATTCTTTCCTTCTTTATGACAACGGACTTTAGATTGCGAATATCCAATATATGGTTTGGCATCAATGTTCTTTCCTCCTCATGGAGTTTGATCTTCTATTTCAGGCTCGATGATGCAATTCAAATTCTGGAGCATGTTGTTAGTATGAGGGAAGAAAAGCTTGGTACAGCAAATCCCGACGTGGATGATGAGAAGAGAAGGTTGAGCGAGTTGTTGAAGGAAGCCGGTAGAGTTCGGAACAGAAAAGTCAGGTCACTAGAGAACCTTTTTGACGGCAATGCTCGCACTTTAAACAACCTTGTCATTAACGCCTGATAAGGTTTTTCTTTATAGATACTCGATTATTTGATGCTTTACACGAACACGGTCTGAAAATTTGAAGGGACAAGCATATCCTGACAGTGTTAATAATATGGTATGATTGAAGAGTGTTACACAATTAATGAGTAAAATGGAATTCTTGAAGAGTGTAATAATTTATGCTACAATTTTATTTGAGAGCTACAATAGTTGTATTTGTATGATAGTCTATGTTGTAAGTCATTGTGATATATATACAGATTAGCCTCTTATTTGTGTATACAACATTTTTTCCTTTTTGTTTTATTTCATATATCAAGAAAATATTCTGTCTCTGGGATATGGTATAAATGGTTACATATATGTTGTTTCTGAAAATTCAACTATGGTAATGATTGAAAGGAGTACAAGATTTCTTTCATTTTCTGATATAAGAGTCTTATGGTATTGATTGACGATAATCTTAACATTCAGATCAATCAACATTGGAGAATTCAAGTAACTGTAAATCTAATATGTCTTTTTCTCTCTAAAATAGGAAGCTCCCTACTAAATCATAGTTCTCCCCCTTCTATTTTAAGAAAACTATTTTCATTTTGTTTATGGTCCTCTACTTATTGAAAATCCGAATCTTATTTGCGGGAAGTATCTACGCACTCTTTTAGAAATAAAGTATAAGAAGTCATCTATTTGTAGTAGTTATGTAAAATTACCGGAAGAAGATGAAGATTTCTACTTTCACTTTTTCACATACAATGTGATAATTGATGTCTACGTGTTTGATGTATTCATGTAACATTAACATTAGAGTTGGCTGTTATAAGTAAAGTGATTTGATTGTCACAGGAAGCACAAAAACTTGCTGTTTAAATCAACAAGTAATTAAAGAAGTTATTGAATTTCACAAATTGTTGAATCCAAAACTTTATATTATGTTTCATTCGATAAGTGAGATATTGTATTTTGTTTCTTTGCACGCCATGAGATGAGGGAGGATTCTCAATAAAAAAACAAATATTAATTATTGATCGATAATAATCTAAATGTGACACCCTAAATTCTAATTTTTTTTCTTCATATTTATAAATATTTAAAGTGTTCAAAAAGGCATATGATGAAGAGAAAGGTAGATTTTGTTTCTTTTAAAAAGGCATGGTTGAGGCAGAACAGTGGAGGAAATACAGTGTGTTGAAGAAAAATGGAAATTTCACATTGGTTTTTCAATAAAAAATATTCTTCTTAATAAAAAATATTCTTCTTTATATATGTGAAACGTACACGTTATGGAGAAATTACACATTATAAATTATTCAATTACACATTATAAATTATTCTTAAAAAAAATTCACTAAATTAAAACAATTCTACATCACTCTACCGAATATTTATAACCTTTTAATTTTGAAAATAGAAATACTTTTAAAATAATTTTCCCATCCCAATGTCACTAATCAGATCAGAGCTTCTCCCAAATTTGAACTTCAAGACCCATTAGCCTGTACTTATTGTGATTTCGCAAAAGCAGGGTCAAGTTAGACTGAAATTCTGGCAACAGATACTTAATGTCACAGTGAATGTTATGACACCGTATCTGACAAATTTGTACACACTCCAAACAGTAATTTAAAAACAGTATAGAACACAATCAATTGTTAACCCAGTTTAGTGTGTAACAACACCTACTCTGGGGGCTACCAAGCCAGGGAGGAAATTCACTATAAGAGGTATTAATTTAGGAATAAACCAACCAGTTTATCTCCTTCACTTAAGACCTACTCAATACAACTTCAATCTAAGTCCAACTTAAACCTGAGTTCCTACTCACTCCCCCTCAATCACAGTAGTGATACTTATCTATTGATTGATGAAATTACGAAGACATTCTTCAATACACATACTTGATTTTGCTTAAAAGCTTTAATCAAGAGACACAATCACTCGTGCTTCAAAGCTTTGAGTGATAAACAACCCTTACTTGATTTTGCTTCAAAGCTTTAATCAAGAGACACAAACACTCGTGCTTCAAAGCTTTGAGTGATAAACAACCCTTACAACCAAATCCTACTCCAATTCACTTATCAAAACGATAATTGCTTGGCTCACAGTAGTTACAACTATACAATGCCTTATTGATCTTCTGTCAAAAGTACTGCAGTCCATTAGGCTTCGTGAGAAATATATAAGCAGACTATTCCTCATTTAGGGCTTCCATAAAAATAGCTAGGGTTAACTAAAGTTAACCTAAAGACTTGGTCTAGGGCTTTTTCATAACAGATTGGGGTTAAGCAAGGTTACCCTAATGTCCACGAGAGCAGCTGATCTGGACAATAATTCTTCAACTCAGAGCAGCACACCAGTTTCCTGAAAAATCTCAGGAATAATAGATCTGCACAACAACTTAATCAGTACAGGATGTCTTAACATTGGTTGTGACATCATGTATCTTTCTCACTTATTTTGGTAGAATTCAACATATATGATCATAGCTTAATGATCATGATAATCACTCATACTGAGTAGTTCCTGTAGAACATTCTTTTCTGCAGAATGTACCTTTATCCCAGAATGTTATGACATCAGTCATGACATTCGCAAATCTGGTTTTACCAAAAAAAATACCAACAAACAAACACTTACAAACTCCCCCTTTGGCAAATTTTTGGCTAAAACCCCTAAACAATCAGAGATTATAATGCAGCATAATTTTTTAATAACAGCTACCAATATCTAATTCTACCAAAATTACCACAATTTCTTCTCCCCCTTTTTAGCCATAAAGAGGCCAAAGATACTTGTACTTTAAGTTATACAGTCATCCAAAAGGAAAATAAAAAAACACAGAAATAAAGAGAAGGCATCATTTGGCAGCAACAAGTTCCAGCAGCAATCTTTTCAGCAAACACAGACCTTCAGGTACTGTCATCACCTGAGGAAGCACTATTTTCAGCAGCATTATGCTGGTCTTCATCAGCATCCTCTTCCCTTAATTGTTCTTCATTCTCCTCCTATTCCAGTCTAGGAATCAGCTCTTCAAGAGTCCTTTTTCTTGCATCAAGCTCTCTGCAGGTTTCTTTTAGGACAACTATAGCATCAGTTTTCTTGGAATGAGTTTTGACATTTGATGTCTCAGCAGATGTCATAACAATGTCAGGGACATGCGTTCCCTGAAACAGCTTATAGTGAAAACCAAGTGCAGGGGCTCTTTTGCATACAAAGTCTTTTTCAACCAGAATATCAGGATACTGATCAATGATTATACCACACAGGAGAGAGGGAAAAGCAATAGGGCCTTTAATAGCACAACTCCCAGCATGTTTCAATGTTTGATCAAAGATGTAGTTGCCATAATCAAAGTTTGTTCTGGTTCCAACAACATAGATAAATCTTCCCAAACCTGTGGAAATGGTGGATTTGTGGTTGGTGGGAACCCAGTTAGCTGCACCAATTTTGTGCAGTATGGCAAACTTCATGCTCATCTTGCTTGCAGTTAACTTCCCTTTCAAGGGCCAGTGCTTGACTTGCTTGGCAGTGATGGTTTGACAAACCTTGTTGTCAGTAACTTCAAGCTCAGGTTGAGCATCATCAGGCCTTCCTAGGAATTTGTTTATCACAGTAGGAGAGAAATTTACCTTTCTTCCTCTCACATAAACACTCTTAAAATCAGCTGACTTTCCATCAGCACAACCATCAGACAAATTTACTATGAATTCTTTGACAAGAATCTCATAACAATTGGAAAACTCGACCACTGTTTTCATCAGGCCAGCAGCTTTGATTAGATCCATGACTTCCTTACACTCAATAGCACTTCTGTTCAGCTCTCTCTCCAAGGCAATCCTTTTCAGAAACACATACTTCCACCTGCTTGCATTTTCTGGATGGTGGAAGGAGATGTTGTCAATGGCAACTTCAGGAACCTTAGGCAGTTTACTAGAAGAGGGTTTCTTCCTGAGAGGAATGTATGGAACATTGCTCTCAACATAAAAATCAAAGTCTGATTCCTCATCTGATTTAGAGGGTTCAAGATCCTTTCTTTTCTTGGTTATAGGTTGTCTCAAGGGTTTTGAGAGACTACCAACAGATACCCTAGCTTTTACCTTACCCTTCCCTTTCGAAGTTCCAGTCTTCTCAGCCTTGTTCTCAGGCCTCGCCTTCTCATGAACCACTTCAGTAGCCTTCCCTTTGGAGGGGCTTTGAACAACATTTTGCTTCTTTTTTCTACTCATCATCCTTCTAGCTATGCTAGGGTTGATATTGGCAATCAAATCATTGTCAGAGAATTCTTCATCAACATCTATGATAGGAGGTTCAACAGCCTTGTCAGTAGGGGTCTAGTGATCATCAGGTTTTTCTGGAGATTTCCTAATGTTGTCATCAGGTGTCTCAACATTCTGAGTGACATCTGGATCCCTTTCTACATTAGGGCTAGCAGTTTCTTGGTTCAAAGGTACAAATATGCCAGGAACATAGTGATTCTCATTAAGAATCCTAGTGACTAGCCTGGCAATAGCTTGATGTACATAAGCAGAACCTTCCCTATTAGCTATCTCTGGAGGAACAGAAGATGATGGTTGAGAAGATTTACCAGATGGAGAAGCTTGTGATCTTCTTGCATGTCTGGTTCGCAGCTTCTTGACCTTAGTAGGATCAGCTGCCATTTCACGAAGAGGAGTTATCTCAAGAACATCAGCATCCATGCAGTTTACGATTGCCCTAGGTTCGGTGTCAGAGGGTGAGGAGGAAGCAGTCGCCTTTGAAGAAGATGATGACATGGATTGTTGAGACATCTCGAGAGATTTAGAAAACAAGTAACAATGAGTGTGAAATCTTCATTTGAGGGAATGGAGACTGTTGCAGAAAAGCGAGAAGAGGGAGATATATGAATGTCTATTCCACTTCTTAAAATTTTGGAAAGAAAGAGGGAAACAAATGATTAGCCCAATCAGAATAGACTTGACTAAAATATCTCTTTCATCCCTTGTTTTAAGTAAAATTAATTGCTACATCTCTTCATG